AGCACCAACCCTGCTGGGCTAGCGTCGCCAGCTCTCTCGATATGTGGAGGCTCTCTCAATACGTGCAACACAAGGACTTCACATCCATGGCAACCATGCCCAGAACCAAAAGACCAGGACCTCGAGTTCAGAGTCCTCTGATGTGTAACCACACATAATGCTCTCAGCAGTACCCCAATTGCTCACTGGGAGAACAGGTCTTGCCCTGGGGCATTCGGAGCCCTGCATCGACCTCACATTCTAGCTGGGGGCTGGTGGAGCACGGAACAGCCTTTGCTTGGATTCTCAGTTACAGGGGAGCAGCACTCAGATGGTATCCAGGGTTGGGCCCAATCCTCCGTGGCCTACCCAGAGACATTTGTTGTCTTTGGTCCAGGGCTGTGTGATACCAGTAAGACCACAAAGCCTGGGGAAGGAGACTAGCACTGATTTGGGTCTGGGAGCTGAAAACAACTTTGATTCATTTCTTCTGGGTGAATTGCAAGCTGCTTGGAGAAGTGGTTGGGATGTCTGGGCTAGAAGGGGCCCCAGGGCTCAGCCCACATTGGTTCTGGTCTCTGTGGTCTTGGGCAAGTCCAGCCCCTCCCCCAGTAGACTTATGACTGTCCTCACTTGCTGGGAAGCAGCAAGGGGGGATGTCCAAGGCCTCTCATTGTCCCCCAACCAGCTGTGCTCATCCAGAGGAATGAATGAAAAAGTGGTGTCTGGTAGTGCCAGGCAGGGAGGAAGGGACACATCAGGAACCCGAGGATAGCAGCCTCCATCCCAAGGGGGTGACCCACCCAAATCAGTGATTTGTGAGCAAGCGACTTCCCCTCCCCAAGCCTTGGTTTCTCATTTATAAAAAGAGCTCAGTCAGGTGCCTTCTAGCACCAGCATGCATGCTGTGCTAGTCCCCTAGTTGACTAGCAGCCCCTAGGGAGCAGGATTCAGGCCTGAGAAAAGGAGAACTGGTTCAGCCAACAGCTGTGCCCAGCCACCTCTGGGGATGCAGGAAGATGAGGGAGGCTATGTCATAGCCCAGAGCTCCTCAAACTGAGCTAGGACCTAAAAAATTGGGGTCATTCCTTGGCCAGGCTTACATTGGGCTGTGTGCTTAATTTCTGCATCTTGGGGAAACCTAAGAGAAGGAGAAGACTGGGCTGCAAAAGCTAGAAAGCTGTGCGGCCCCAAGCCACATACCACATGTTCCACCCTCACCCTATCTCTGGGCACCCTCCCATGGGCACCCAACACGCCAGCCATTCTCCAGAGGGATCTGGTTCTTCTACTGGCCCCTGGAATGCTTTGCCTATGCCATTTCCTACACCCAGAATCCCTTCCCTCTTTCTTCCTGGACACTATCTAGGGAGACTCTATCATATTCTCCTTCTGTCTCCAGAAACCACCTTTGAAACACACTGTGTGTGTGTGCGTGTGTGTCCCACCTACTGGAGAGGGACCCCAGGGACAATTGAACCCCGGGGGTGTTAGAAGCTGACTATGCTGCAGGCACACACCTCCCACCCCCACCCAGGGTGCTGAAGCAGAGATCCCCACACACTTCCAAGAGTGAGTCAGTGCTGACCTGCTGACTCCAAGGCAGCCCCAGGGACTGGCAGCTCAGAAGACCTCACTTCCAGAAGTGTCCCATAATGGAGCCAGGCGCTTTTAGAATGCAAAGCTGCCATGACCCACATAAGCAATCCCAGCTTCACCCACTGGTTGTACAACTACAGACCCCCTCTTGCTATAATGCTGACCATACTACTGTGAGAATTGAATGGCAGGTTGCCTGGTAGAGCACAGGAGAAGTTTCCATAATCACTCACTTGCCTCCCTTTCCAACACGACTTAGCTTGTCGGAGATTTAAAAGCCACTGCTCAGAGAGACCAGGCAGGAGTGGGCCATGGAAGGGAAAGGTGTCAGAATGAGCCCAGGGAGGAGAGCTTTGCTGGGGACAGGAGGCAGGTATGCAGCAAGAACTCAGAAAGCAGAAATGGGACACCCCCTCACAGCCCAGGGGGTGTCACAAAATGGCAGGGCCATGGCAGGTCCAACCAAGGACCTGCCAATTTGGCCCAAAGACTTGGAGGCAACATTTAAAAGATGGAAATTGTTATAGACTGAATGCTTGTGTCCCCCACAAAATTCGTAGGTTGAAATCTTGTGAGGGTGTTCAGAAGCAGGGCCTTTGGGAGGACTTCAGCTGTGAGGGCGGAGCCCTCATGAATGGGACTCGTGCCCTCTTAAGAAGAGTCCTAGAGGAGCTTGCTCTCTTTCCACAAGGAGCAGTCAGAAGCCTGCAGCCCCAAAAGAGGGCCCTCACCAGAACCCAACCCTGCTGGCGTCCTGATCGCAGACTCCCAGCCTCCAGCACCGTGAGACATAAACTTCTTCTGTGTCTAAGCCACCCAGCATAGGGCACTGCGTTATAGCAGCCTGAACCAACTAAGACAGGAATACTTCAAATATAAATACAAATCTCCAGCTTCTCTGGAAAATGCAGCAATTCTGGCAACACAGAATCCACATTCCCACACAGCCACAATCAGCTGGCAGAGCAACAGCTGCCCCTTGAGTGGGCAAAGGCCCCCCAACCTGCCTCTGCCTAACCCTAATCTGAGGGTGCCCCCAGCAAGGCTCCTCGCATAGCTACTTCTGGTGGTAGCGACATGTGCATTTTACCCAGGCCTCTCTCAGAGTGGGAAAATGACAAATAGACCCAGAGGGTCTCCTGTTTCAAGAAAAGGGAGCAAGAGCTCATTTGTAACTGGGGAAAAAAAGACAACACCTGCACACGCTCACTTTGCGCCCACCTGCCTGGCTCTGGAAACACGGTATGTCACCGACCTCAAAGGCCTGCCACGCCCCTGATTAGACATGAAGGGGATCTCACAGGGGTGTGCTGGCTGCCCCTGAAGGGCCCCTACAGTGCACAAAGACACATCCAAGTTTGATGAGCACACTGTGATTCCTGCCACCTCCACAGGGCCCTGCAGTCCCCAAGGTCTGGCAAGAAAGGCAGCAACAGAGGAAAGTCCATCTCCAGCAAGGCAGGCATGGGCCAGGCTCCGGGGGAGGTGGGGGCAGGTCACAGCCCAGTCAGAAGGGCTTAGGGAAGGGGTGGAGGGGAGAGGAGGAGAGTGGACAGATGTTTGTGGCCACGTTCATTCAGGCCAGTTGGTCCAGTTCAGCACCACCCCCTCCTGTCTGCACCAGCCTCTGTCCTGGGTTGCTGCTGAGCTGGGAGCACCCCCAGGGTGTGGGAGCCACAAGCCCAGCTCTGTCTCCCTCCCACACACTGCTCTTAGCCTCCCCACCGTCCTAGCTGCAGTCTAGTCCTCAAGCCCCATTCAGCCACTGCTGGTGTCCAACGGGGACTCAGCTCAGCCTATCATAGATGCCGTGGGAATCACTTCCTATTCATGAGGCCGGAGTCGGGTGAGCAACTCTCATTTGTAAAAGAGAAGATTACTTTCAGGAGCTGACCTGGCCCTTGCTGAAGCAGACAGTGCTGGGTGGACATGGGATTGACTGCTCCTTTGCCAAGCCCCAGCCCCCTGGATGATACCCGCATCCCACTGGTAATCTTCTGGATTCCCCTTCTAATTGGTTGCCTGCACCCCTGTAGCCCCTGAGCAGCCCACTGTGTCTTGTAAATATGTCCCAAGTTTGCTCTATGGGGTTGGGGAGCAGGGTTGGGTTCTATGTGGCCCCCCGAGCACCTGGACCCTGGAGCTGAAGGAAGTACCAGGAGAAGGTACTGAGCTAAGTCTTGTCCACATCAGCCAACTGAGCCAGGGGATGCACCCAGCTGCCTGGACCATTCAGAAGCAGCCCCAGGCTAAAAGGGCTCCACCTCCTGCAGTGGGAAGTCCAGACTCAGAATCCTGGCATCCAGGGCCATCAAGCTCTGGCCCCCGCTGGGCACCCTCACCGGATCTCTGGGCACTCTCCCATGGGCACCCTCCTCGCCCCTGGAAGTCTTTGCATATGCTGTTCCCTACACCCAGAATCCCTTCCCTCCTTCTTCCTGGACACTGTCTAGGGAGACTCCATCATATTCTCCTTCTGTCTCCAGAAACCGCCTTTGCAACACAGATTGCCATACTCTGTGTGTGTGTGTGTGTGTGTGTGTGTGTGTCCCACCTGCTGGAGAGGGACCCTCCTCGAGAGCCAGGAGACCCCAGGCCTTAGCAGAACATGCAGGGGACACCCTAAGGGTATGTCTCCTACTTCCTATTATCAGAAAAAAAGCCTACAGCCTACCCCTGTGCCTCCACCTCCCAGACCCCCTGTGACAAATGAGCCCCCTAACACTCCCCCAGACCCACGCTGGGACCCAGCTCTGCTCCTGGCCAACACAGCTGCGCAGCCTGATCACTGAAGGAATAGGTTTGGGGCCAGTATCTGAGAAACACTGGATGAGCCCATTCCAGTGAGGCTGCTCAGAAATCCCAAGGGCCAACTCCACAGGAACTCCTTTCTCTAAGTCTGACAAAATGTCCCTAACAATTTCTATCCTTCAGACGAGACAACAGCCACTGAGAAGAGAGCACATCCTGGAAAACCACAAATCCTGACAGCTCAGACCTCTGGCATCAGGAGACCTGAGGAAAGCAAGTGGGCCGGCTGCACACATGGAGAGGGAGCTGGGAGCAGGGATGATTGCCCCACCCAGGCCCCACCCATGAGCTGCAGGTTGGCACCTAACACTGTTACCAGGGAGCAGGAGAAAGCTGCGAACATGGAAGGTCACTGTGGGGCAGTCTCCTCTAGGACCAGCTCTCTGTGGGTGAAATGATGCTTAGGACATTCTCTCCATGCTCAGGCCGCATGTAGGAAGCAATCAAGATAGTACTGGACAGCACCAGTGGCCCTGGCTGTGACTGACAGGAGGCGAGGAAGCTGCACAGGCCCAGATGCAAGGATGGCAAAGCTGAGACCCAGGCTGGTCACACAACCTCCACCACCCCCACAAGGTCATGCCCACCAGCCCAGCTGAACCCAAACTCACCTTTGAGGGAGGCCACATGGGACAAGGCCTGGGCATAGGTGGCCGTGTTCAGGAGAGTCCCCGGCAAGCAGGAGGGGAAGAAAGGCCCTGCAGGACCTACCGTTCGCCCCAGGCTGGCAAAGGAAGGAGATCACATTGAGGTCTCGCCCTGTGTCTGCAGTGCTGCCCATGGCCCACCGGGCCTAGAGACCCACAGTCTCACCTCTGCTGGGCCTCCAGCACTTCCTTCTTGTTCCGGGCTTGGTCCCCAGGGGGCGGGGAGTTGATGTTTCTCACTGGAGGAGGCGTCACCTCTGCCATGGGTTCCTTGGCTCCTGGCTCCTGGTCCGAGGCCCCTCTCTCCGTCTTCCTCCATTTGGCTCTTCTGTTCTGGAACCAAACCTGAATCCCCAATGGAAACATGCACCCAGTGAAAATCAGACAGGAGGAGGGAGCCAGAACCCTGGACCCAGTGCTGGCACTTGCAGCTCACCCTGCAGCCTCCTCTCCACACCACGCCCTCTGAACTGCAGTGTCAGGCCCACAGCGGGGTCAGAAGATCCACTTAAGAGGTTAGGACAGGCATTTTTTAATGAACGTTAAATAATAGAAAGTATCCGAATGCCCATAACAAGGGTAAAAGCACTGTCTTGTGGAAATCCTTAATGTCGAGTCACACGCAAGTTCATTTATTTGATGTGAAATGTATTTCCTACTGGAGGTGGAGGATCACCAGCAAAGCAGCTAATGAAACCTGACCCAGGGCTTCCTCATCACAAAGACTCACTAGGTCTTCCGACAGCTGTGGCCTGGGTACCTGGGTGTGTCTGGTCTGGCCTCATATCTATGATATCGTCTGGATACACATCACGACATATTCGTGATCAGCAGCCCAGTGTACCCATTAGAAACATTGACTCTGGGTCAGGTGTGGTGGCTCAGGCCTGCAGTCCCAGCAGTTTTGGAGGCCGAGGTGGGCGGATTACTTGAGGTCGGGAGTTTGAGATGAGCCTGGCCAGCATGGCGAAACCCCGTCTCTTTTTATAAAAATACAAAAAGTTAGCTGGGTGTGGTGGTACATGCCTGTAATCCCAGCTACTCAGGAGGCTGAGGCAAGATAATCACTTGAACCTGGGAAGCAGAGATTGCAGTGAACTGAGATCATGCCACAGCACTTCAGGCTGGGTGACAGTGAGACTCTAGGAAAGAAAGAAAGAAAGGAAAGAAAGGAAAGAAAGAAAGAAAGAAAGAGAGAAAGAGACAAAGAGAGAAAGAGAGAAAGAGAGAGAGAGAGAGAGAGGGAGGGAGGGAGGAAGGAAAGAAAGAAAGAAAGAAAGAAAGAAAGAAAGAAAGAAAGAAAGAAAGAAAGAAAGAAAGAAAGAAAGAAAGAGAAAGAAAGAAAGA